CTCCTCACATTCTGGGATTCTGTGAAAACCAACCCCAGAACACAAGGCTACAGCCTGCCCGTGCTGGCACAACCTACCTGTTTTCAGCACGACCAAGTGAGAGGAGTCATCGCGGATGTAGGAAACGGAGGCGATGTCATGGATGGGGACCCTGAGGATGAGATCTTCTCCATCCCTCCACACCAGCTTGATGTTGTAGGCAGAGAGACTGATGACGGCATCGTGTTCTTGGGTCAGCTGCCCCGGGAGCTGGTGTGCTCTCTAAAATAAACGGATTTTCATTGATTTACTGAAATAGTTCCCCTTTGGTGATGGGCTTCCCTCCCATGGGGTGGAGGACACCAGCACCCAGCCCCCAGGAAGTTCCTGGAGTTTTTTTTTCCACACTGCACATCAGACAGAGCCTAAACAGAGGGGGAAATACAACAAACCGAGCGCTCACCTTGGCATTATCGATCAAATGCAGGATTTCCGTGCGGCTGGAGGGATTCAGGTACCCGGGGATGGACGTGAGTTGACCTAAATACTGGAAATTAAGAAGCAAACTGTTACCACAGCATGGACATGCAAAGAAAGACACCATCAACACAAAGGGGCTGGTGCTCCAAGCCCTTATTTAACTAAAACAGAATAAAAACATCAACGTATGGAAGAGTTCTCGTGCCTTAAAGTTATTTGAATGCTATATATACAGTTATTCTATACAAAACCCAGCCAGGCAGATGTTACCTTCACTTCTTTCTCGATGTAGTCGTTCAGCAGCACGTCCGGTTCGACACGGTCGGGCAGGGACACCACCACCGTATGCAGCGGCCGTCGCTCCGTCACCTTCTCCTGGGCTTTTTTATCCCGGCCTTTTTCGCCTTTCAGGAAGACTCGTTTGAAAGGAGACACTATGCCAGGCTGTGGAGAAAAAAACCAGGAGATTAAGGGTATAAAAAGGGAGTTTCTGCACTGAAATGGGTGTTTGGAGTGAGCAGCTCAATGAAGGATTGCAGAAAGAAAAGGTTGAGACCCAAAAATCTCAGTATTTGACCCAGGAGATGGCTTTCCCTGGGGAAAAAAAAAGAGGGTTTTGAGTCCTAAAGCACTGGGAAAACATCTTTATCAATGATCTAGATGAGGG